AGGAACAAATGCTTTTGCCAGTGCCACTGCTAAGCATCTTCCTGACATGGGTCTTCAGGTGGACGTCACAAGATCGTTCAAAATTATCAATAGGCACAAGAGTTAGATTCTCCTCAAGTTTGCTGAAGCGATCTCCATCAAGCGTCCGAAACGTGATTTATGTGTTCAGAAAGAAGTGGTTATCAGTCTTTCCTCGTCTTAGTAACTAGATATTTACACTCTCTCTTTCATCTGATTACTTAATATCGGCAGTTTCCATCGTGTATGATCACCATTGTTCACGATAAAGTGTTTATTATTATTATTATATATTATTATACGCATTTAGAGACTGATTGATTTTTGTTTAAAAATGAACTCTGTACAAGTATATTATAATTGTCTCTGTAGACATACTTAATAATGTCTTTGGTCTGTAAACAGCTGATGAAAAGTCAGTTCGTTACAGGATTTCATCATGAGTTCACACTGGTTAGAGAAGCACCGGAAAACCTGGCAGTACTGGACAGCTGTTTCGTCCTAGTTTAGGACTTTTCAGCAAATCTTCAGCTCACCATGAAATCCTGTAACAAATCAGTCAAATCCCTACAAACCAACACTTGAATAATTTTGGTTTCCAATGGAATCGGTGATAAGATTTCACCCTCAAACTGTGCACACAAAAAATGGCTAACTTATCTGCAGATTGTGAATTTGATGTGCACTGATATCGGGTCACCTAGGTGGCTGGCCAGAAAGTGGGTAGTCTGAACTGATTCGTCTCTCCGAGTTGAGTCAGACGGGTAGCACCACTGACGAGCTCCTCCACAAGCAAGCGAAACAGCTGTCCGGTATGGCTGGCAAGCACTCCTGCTTGATATTAGCGGCGCGCAACTACTTATTTCCAACAATCAGTAGTACATAGTTATAGGTAAACATGTTCGCTCCTGGAAAAATAGCTTTTTTCTATTCAAAAATAAATAAATAAATTTTATTTTTGTTTGTCTATTTGTGCCATTGAATTCTAAATCTAGAATGTGAATGTGAATGGGTGAATTCAACATCGGAGCTTGTTATTTTTCTGCCAGATTTGCGATCTATATTCACTCATATATATCAAAATACGAATTCTATATACATGAAAACTGGTCACATTCACTGATAATCTATTTGATTTGACTTGATTTGATTGTTATTTATGTTCTCCCCCTAAGTCCATGTATGTTGTACTCTGAAATGTCATTGGTAAACAATAATATTAATATATTAAATCAAATTAATTATTTGTGTTCATACATTCTGCGGTCAACTTATTTTAAACATGCTGTTTATGCTTCTGTTTCAATAACCACAACATAATCTTGATACGCACATTTCAATTTGTTTATATTTGAATATCCATTTCCAGTTTTTTGAAGATGAATAAAAGCAGATTTCAGTTTCATGAATTCGTGGTTAATTTTTTCTCAGAATGGAGGATATTTGGTGATTTTCTAATTGTTTCACGTTAGACTACGAATCGATATCAGTTAGAGAACCATTGACAACCATCAGGGAGTGCTGGACAGCTATTTCAACCTAGTTTGGGACTTCTGATCGGCAGTACGCAGTACAAACTAATTTTTGGAAATTAATCTGATGCTCGCTAGTCACTGACTAAAGGACAAAGTCTACTGGAATTCTAGTGAGAGGTTGTGATCAGTGAGGTCCATCCAGTCAGGAGTGAGGATGGAGTTCCCACCGATGACATTGTTTGGTGGTGACACTAAATTCACGAATTGGCAGAGGTTACAATACATGGACCATTGTATCCGCTCCCAGTGGCTGAATGGTATAGGAGCTTGCCTTGCGACCGTAAGATCCTGGGTTCGCACTCTGGCGTTGGATGTGTGCCACCAATGAGTCCCAAACAATGATGAAGCAGCTGTCCAGTACTCCCTGCTGGTTTTCAACGGTTACTGAGTGATATCAATCCGCGGTCTAAGCGGAAAAAAGAGAATCCCTACAAACTAATTCTTGAAGATTTTATAATTCTACCAGAGATTTACCAGTTATTGCCTTTGTTCTCCTCACTTGCATATCTTAGTAGAACTCTTCTACTGAATACTCTACAAACAGTCTTATAAATACTCTGAGAAGTACATAATGGCGATTTATAGCTAGTAAATAAACTTCAAGAAATTAGTCATAGTGAGACGAAAGGAGAAAATGTTCAGCAGATCAGATGAGATGGTTGGCTGTTGGAAAGGGGTATGAGAGATTGAAAATCCATGATTGTGACAATTTATGAATCGCTTACGTTACTATATAGAATAAACAATTACTTTAAGATAGATCACGAACTGACTTCATTTACAAAACCATTGGAAACCACAAAGGAGTACTGAACATCTGTTTCCTCCTTGTCTGGGACTCTTCATCAGAACGTATGCTTCAACCGACCAGGGAGTGAACCCAGGATGCTTGCAAATAGAAACTTGAAATTACTCAAGTTCTCAGTAGTGATGGGTGACTACAGGATGAAGTTGCCTGACGTTCTGGTGGGAAGCGGTGACCAGGGGAGTCCATTAGGCCGGGAAAAGTGACAAATGCTCCCCGATGACACTGGTTGGCGGTCGTGCTAAAATCGGCAAACTGATAGAAATTAGAATTGATGCGCTGGCTAATGGATTCCATCGTAGTGGCCGAAAGGTCAACCAGGTCGCCTGGTAACTTGAAGGTACTGGTTCCGATTCCCACCAGCGACGTCATGGTCACTTCCTACTGATGGGTGCAAAATTAGGACGAAATTTCTGTTAAGTATTCCGTGATGGATGTCAAGAGTCCTCTAACTGAAGTAAGTTGATGATAAACTTTGAAATCTATCAAATGCCTGGTAATACATAATAAAATAGAAGATATTACCGTAGAAGACTTAAAGTAATAACCACTACCTTCTGTAATCCATGATAATTTTAGTTTCCCGTCTCTTATACCCCTTCCACCCTCTGCATATCTCAGCTTGATTTACAAAACATTCCTACGTTTGGATTTACCACTACGGATTCACTGAATTGTACGTTTTTCCACGTATCTCTTTATGTATTTCCCAATATATATATATATATATATATATATAACACTTTCATATAGCCGGTTCCCTTTATTAGTTTAAATAAAGAAAGAACGAACATATTTACAGGCAGGATTATACGAGCTTGTTTTAATTCATGGATTCTCTTCAACTGCGCACATTCTAAATAAATCACTTATATGTTACGAAATTCTTCCAAACATACTTTTTACAATGATTTCAAGTTATAGATAGATAGAAAGTATAAGCAACGTAATTTCAATGACGATGTTAGTAGACGATTATCTCGTGTTAAGAGAGTAACTATTTATATGGTAATTGAACAAAGTGGTGGAGTTTTGATTTCGCTTGAAGACAAGGATGGACTGGAGACAAAATACAAGATAGATTAACAGAGTCTGTTTATATATATTATGGTAGAAAGTCCAGTAACTGCATAAATAGTTACTCCTTTAACACGACATAAATGTCTACTTACATCGTCTTTAAAATTATGTTGCTTATACTATCTATTTATAACTCAAAATCATTGCAGAGAAGTATGTTCAGACACCATTTTGTAACATAGAATTGATTTACTTATTTAGCATGTGAGCAGTTGAAGAGAATCCACGAAGTAAAATGAGCTCGTATAATCCTGCCTGTAAATATATTCGTTCTTTCCATATATGAGCCTGTTTGTACAGCATTATAACTGTGGAGTTCTATTTTGATTGTTTGAACCCATTAAATCCGGCTTTATCAGTATTTATTGCTGGTTTTAAATTTGTATCGGGAAAAAAGATAATTTTAATTACTTACAAATCTTAAATTTTAATAGTCATTCCTTTTGCTTTCTGAGTTTTCAACGAGATTGACTGATCTCTCCGTCCTTATGTAGACGCCACCTTTGATGTTACCTAACGATCAGTCTGAAGACGAATGTCCGAGGTCTCATCACTCTTACTACTCATTGATCGACAGATAGGAGTTGTTAGATAACGCGGGTTCGAATCTCAGCAGGGACATGAGTTCCTTCAAAGATGCAGATACACCTTGCTGATGAGTGTCAACTAGCACGAAACCTAGGTCCAGGGCTTCCTACCAGTTGCCTCCAACCATCTAATACCAACAATTCACAGTGCACCATAATGGCGAGCCACCTAGCATGGTGGTCACATTGCATGCTTGACTGTCAGAATTCAGTTTGCAGCGAAGATAGGACTAGACGCATTACACTAGTTACTGACTAGTGTGCAATCAAAGATAACATTCTCATCAACCAGTGGTATTTTCTAGTCAGATAGTGAAGTGATCTAAAAACTGGATGATGACAAAGCTTGTTTCCTTTTTAAAGCAACAAAGAGTTCAGCCGAACTTTTTGAAACGATTCATTTTTGTATAATAGTTTGCAGTATTGTGGTTCTTCTATGATATTATTACATAGAGTTGCTAAAATAGTTAGTCAGACAACTGTAGAATAGTATGTGTGTGCTTTTCAAACAACTGATTAGTTAAAACATTAAAAAGGTTAAAGTCATTTGGTTTATTGCAACTAGCAGTGGAATCCAGGATACGTGTTTCATCCGTTTTGGGACTCGTCACCTTGATGTACCTACACTCGCCAGTGAGCAATAGCGTTTCAACCGACGCTCGAATCCAGTGCTTATCGTCTCAAACGCTAAAGCATTATCCACTAGACCACTTGTGCCACGTGAGGCACCTCTTGTGCAACGTGCCTTATTCATCAATCGACAGGAAAATCTAAATTTGACAAAAGAAACTTATGAGTAGTACTTTCAGTAGTGTATTAAGCTTTGCGAGAATTTTTTAAACTGTACAGCAAAAAAAAATCAACATTTTACATTTCAAAATCTCATTTCTTTTAATAAAGCAAACAAATCTGATAAAAATCATGGTGCTTATAACACACAATAATATGAGAGATAGATGTGTAAAGCTTATCACATCACAGTGTGGAAGTTGCCGATGTTTGTTCTTTATGCTGTTCACATTCTAAACACTCAGACTGTTCATTGTTTGACCGCAGGAGATAGGTGCTTTTCTGAGTGGGAGTCAAGGGTGGTTGAAGAATTTTATTATTTGTAGGCATATTTTGATGATGGTGATGATGATCAATAAACTGTGTTTTACCTTCTACTGTACAAGATTGTAGATCATTCAATGAAGATATCAGTTTATCGTCTAAACCTTTTGATGGATTCATAGATTTTGCATCATAAATGTTTTCACCATTTGTCATAGAATCTGGATGTTTGAAATTTACCTCCAAAACTTTTTCTTTATTTGTTTTATTCAATGAAGTTTTTGGCATAAATGTATTCAATTGAACCGACTCATTTTTAACTGGTTTCTGTAAAAGATTAAAATTTGTTTGGTGGGTTTTTAAATTTGAAATTCTGTTGGCTGGTGCAGACGTGGAGATCTGTTGACCAGGTGTACGCAGAATAGTTTTATAGGTAGGCTTTAAAGTTGGATGATAAAGTTCCTGATAATAAGGAGCTAGATAGGTAGTGTGTGGTTCACCTGTATCAGAGTTGAGAACATTCGCTGGAAGACGAGAATCTGAAAAGAATTTCACAAATGGAGATATTATGCGTATGCATTTTAATAACAAACATGAACAGTGTGAAATTCTGAATATAACATGGAAGCAAAATAAGTAGTTTTTTTATTTCCTTCACGTTCCCCAGTGGAACATAGGTCTTCAAGCTAGACGCTGGAAGTTTCTGTAGCAGTGTTTATTTTACAGGATGGGGTTGCTAGCCTCATGCCCAACCTTTCCTCTTCACCAGTATTATTTCTGGCTTAGCGAGGTAAGGGGGTGCGTCGGTCTGGGATTGAACCCCGGACCATGTGCATGGTCGGCGAGCGTCCTAACCGCTATACCACCGACGCACAAAATAAGTAGTTAATCTATGGAATCTCAGTTCTTCAAGCTGATAGGAACCATGAAAAAATGACTAGATTACGTCACCTGCATACTTTTTTATCCATGCAGAATAATAATAATAGCATTTTTATTCTAGACAGTATTGATATAATGTACACAACTTTCAGAGGAACATATTGCATGATGTTTACCCTTCGTACAATATCTTCAAGTAAAATATTAATTGATAGTATATCCTTCCTGTGACACAATGGTCTCTCACCTGAAGCACAAACCTCTCCATTATGATACTTCTGCTCTGTCTCCTTCAAGAAATGCATCCACGAGATCTAGATGAAAGCCAATTGTAAGATGTTCAGAAGTACATTTTGAGTCCCAAGGACACAACTGAAGAACAGTTACCTCATGTATTGGAACATTTTGCCACCCACAATCAGGCCATTCCTCAAGCTTAGTAGGAACTTGCAAATCAGAAGCTGGTGAATATTTTAAGTACACACAAGAGTAGATAATACGATTAGAGGTCATATCTTGATGGATTAAAACAAACCGAACGAGAGAAAATATATGCCAGAGAGAGGTGGAAGTTTCTAGTAGTCCAAGTTTTAAGCAGGCCGCCTAATTACTATGGTTAATCGACTGTATGCCAAGACAGTCTTCATATGCTGAGATGTTGAGAATTTTATTCAGCATAAACTTCATCTCTCGATGGTTCAATAGTAGGCTCATCGCCAGTTATACGGGTTCGACGAACTCCTAAATAATATTGTGTATTCCACTAGACAGTTATTAAGCCCGGAAAAGCAGGAAGATAGGCCGTGAGGTTAGCAACTCTACCCTGACAAAAATAAATAATTAAACCACACCACCACTGGTGGAACTTCCAGCCTTGAAGCCCTATGTTTGACTCAAAAGGCGAAGAATAAAGTGTTTTTATAAAGCTGACAATGAAGCTATATCAAATTTAAACTACTGTAATCATTGCTGTTCAAACTGTGAAAACTATATCCCTCCAACTGAAGTATACGTGTGAATAACCCTCTGAAGATATGACACAAAAACCTTAAAATATGAGTGTTAATGAAAAGTTATAATGAGTAGATGGCGTTCGGAGTCATTCATATAACTTTTAGGAGGAAGATCGAGAAACGTTGCATAAAATGTGACAAGTCTCTTTTAGTGTTTTTAACATTAAGACGACATTAAGAAGACAGATATCTCGAGATGAAATCATCATTTCGTAGTTTCGTTATGACCGCTTTACAAATAACAGAGTTAAAAGCAACAAAATGTTTGACAATTACTCTGTTATATAAAACAAAAGTACATACTGATTAGTAATCATATTTTAATAGGTCAAGTAGTCCATGGTAGGCAAAGGATAAAGTCTATTGTTTTATGTACACAAAGTTCAGGATGCAGTATAATTGATTCACATTGCTTCCATCACCTCTGATAACCTTGAAAATTAGAGTTACAGAAAATCAAAATAAGTGATTCAGCGAAAAGACTCTCTTAGCGAATTTATCAGCAAGCTGTACAATCGTATATATATGGTTTTTAAGAAATTATATCCGGTGTGGGAAATGAATCATAGGTGTGAATGTATAAAATAATAATAATAGTGTGGTGAGAGCTGTCTACTAACCAAATTGGTAGACAGTAATTTACGTCAATCTGTACGTTCTCAAGATTTGTCGTGAGAAAATATGAACAAAGCTGATTCAAAACCGACCACAGCAGACTTTGCGTAGGAGGATACAGTTAACATATAGATGATCTGACATTCAAGAAACAGTCACAAAGAGATGAAAGATTAACCTTAAGTGAGAAACAACCAATCAGAAGACTGTGTTTGTTTGCTTAACTAATCTATAATAATGTACATGAAAATATATAAATATGCTTTGATTTCTTTAGTAAATGATCTGTTGCCTGGTCCTTGTCTTCTGTTGTTACAATAGTATGAAATGGAATTAAAACTAAAATGTTTGTGATTATAATCATAGGTAAATGTCAAGTGGCAAAACAATTAATGTCATATATAGAATAATTCATAAGATGGATAGAACTTGGATTAGTAGACAAATCGAATGAAATAAAAACGTTACGTAACATTATGTGGAATTTGATAACAAAGAAATTAACGTCGCAAAGCAGAACTGATTTAGAATGACAAGTGGAACGAGTTCAAAGTGAGAATAGTATTAGTAACAATTGACGTAATAAAGGAAGAGTATACAAACTGAATAAACATAACGAAAATTAGATATAGTCAAAATATGATTAGGGATTACCATACTTTAGAGGGATTAGTAAGGGGTTGAAAGAACTCGTTCTGTACACAGAGATCTGGCTTTTCTGTTTCGATAGCCAAAGCTTCGGCAGTACAGATGAGTCGGGTACGTAGGGATTTCGGTAAATTACTTTTCGCCTTGTAAGTAAATTTAAAGGTGGTGGCTGTAGAGTTGGGGTGATTACTATTGACCAAATGTTCAATGATCGCGCTTCTTATTGCGCCACTTCCACCTCTTCGTAACCATGCGGGATAGTGTTCTTGCACCCTCTTGGACAAAACTTGAGTCGAACGACTGATATACCTTGCTCCACACGAGCATTCACGTGTATTATTCAACTCCCTAATTGGATATAGTTTCTTAAAATACCACATATGTACACGATTGTACACCCTGATAAGAAATTCGTTGAAAAGAGTCTCTTCGCTGAATCACTTGTTTTGATTTTCTATATGTTACAATAGTAATTTTCCATGGATAAGAGCTATGTGAAATAATTCAGAAGCAGTCATTAATATTGATTTTGTGACCGGACATTACTAAGTTTATTACTATAGCTATTATTGTTATGGACATTATAAGGGTTCTCTAACCGACGTTAGCTTATGATGAAATGCTGTAACCAATCAAATCCTTGCAAACCGAAACCTGATTACTAAGTACCTTGCAATGGATGATGACGAATTTCTGTTCAGATTAATTACGTTTCGATTTTCTATGTGGATAATTGACGATTCGGGAACTTGTTCTTTTAGACGATATTAGAACATTCTATTGGTCCCACCTATACGTGTTACTGCAAAAGTAGATGAACCTGTAGTAGAATCCATAAAATTTCTGTCTTGAATGGTAGACACTGGAACTGAAAGTGTTTGAGATGTAAAGAAAAGAGATGCAGCGTAGAATATGCGCCTGATGGCTGACCGAAGCCTTGGAACTGTTAAATGCATGGTTTGATCACCCCTGAATGGTAGTTTAATAAAGGTAGCTTTCTTTTGTACTGAAGCTGTCTTTTTATGAAATAGTTTTCCTTTACTGTGATTGTTTATTAGTACATACTTTTGATTCATATAACTGAGTAATTGCCATACATTTTATTCTAATATTGTGAACTGTACTAGTTGTAAAGCGATCTTAGGGAACCTATGAAGTGAAATCATCCGGCGATATTTGTCTCCTTAATGCCTTATTAAAACTACTCATTATAACTTTGCACCACCATTCAAACTATAAGGTGGTGGGTTGCTAGCCTCATGTCCAATCTCCCCTCTTTAGCGGTTTTATTACTAGCTTAACGAGGTTTAGAAGTGCGTCAGCCAGGGAGCGAACCCCGTACATCATGCGTGGTTGGTGAGCATTCTACCGCTGTACCACCGACGCACATCTTCTTATTGACTTATTCAAATTTATCAGAGGGACTAACTGTTTCAATTTAATTATATGTGTTATTATTCATCGTAAAACACTATATCACATTACAAAAGTTGAAAAAATGAGTACTGGAGATGTGTTATTTTACGAGTTTGACTACGGATTGATGTCATTTAGAGAACCATTGAAAACTAGCATTGGAGTACTGGGCGGCTGTTTCATCCTCGTTTCGGAATTAGAATTCATGGGCCATTAAATCTGGTCCCAGCGGCTAAATGGTATACGAGCTTGCCTTGTAACCGAAAGGTCCTGGTTTCGAACCCTGGCACTGGGTGCATACCGCCGTCCAGTACTCCCTGGTTTTCGATGTAGTATTTGTTTACTAAAGATATCCATTGATCCAGTGTTCCTTAAAAAGACTCAACTTGATTAGTTTAACGGTGAATTAATCACTTTCGCGCCAAAAAAGTGTTTAAAGAAATTCAAATCCATTTTATTCTATGCAAACATTAATCTCACTTACATATATGATGGATAGAATCATTGTTACTTTGTAAATCATAATGTTGTTCATTCGGGACACAGACTGTTTCCATTCCAATCTAAAAATAACAGACAAGAATGGTGAAATGAAATTTTTAATAATAAAGAAAAACAAAACAATGAAATCGCTAATTGATGGTTAGTGCAAGTGTATTGTTAGTGTATATTATGATTAGTGTTATTATACCCTTGGGTTCCAGGTGGAACATAGGGCTTCAAGAACACATCTCGGCTTCATTCTGTCCTTTGCATGTCTCTTTGGCTGGTTTCATGATAGCCCATCAGCTTTAATCTCCCCCTCACACGGTTTCTCCTATGTTATACTCAGAGAGAAGGCAGCTGTTGGTAAAAGTCTGCAGTAGCTTGATGGAAATGCTTTTCGTGATGCAGTAATTCTCTCGCCTACATAGAAGTAATTCTTCTTTGGACTCTAGGTAAATTAATTATTCATGATTTTTCCAAATTTATAAACTTTCTTCCAGCAATTTAAACCGTAGTAAGTTAAAGATGAAGTAGATTGTTAAATTTTCGTGTGAATACCCGAGGTGATCTTGAATTAGTTAACCGAAATTAACATAATATTTGATAAATAGTAGTGAAGTTGGAACTCGAGTCTCTGCAGGACTTCGATGAGCACCCAAATAACTAACAGAGAAATGGCGCAGTAGCTCATCTACGTTACTCTGCTGTCTCTCCAAGGCTGTCTCATATTATGTCAACAAAAGTTAACAACTGGTTCATTTTCTTTGCATTCAGTATGGTTAGAGCAGACAGGAGAACACCCAAAATGCAACTAATTTCATTCTACTAAACGGACAGCCACCCACCATCAGGAAAGAATATAAACCGGCTGAAAAGACAACTTATATGACAAAGGTATACGTTAGTGGGAATTTCAAACATTTATATATCGGCAATTTCCTACTATCCATCTTTCAGTATTTCTGTCGATATGATGACGCCGAATGAAAGCTTTGATTATCTAGTTTACCCAATCAAGTAGAAATTTTTAGTAGTTATGTAATTCATACGTGGACAAATATTTTAACTAATATATAATTAATCACCAGCAATAGTACTTGAGCTCCTCATCCAATAACTCAAGATATTTGCTAGTCATTTTACTCTGAATCCACACTAGATAGTGAACAACTAGTGTCATGCGTCTCGCCTTTTATTTGGTGCAAACTGAATTTAATCAGTGAAGTGTACAATATGGCTACCATGCTAAGTGGCTCACCATCACGGTACACTCTGAATCGTTACTATTAAGTGGTTGAAGGAAATCAGCAGGAAGCCTAGCCTAGCCTAGGTTTCCAGCTTTTCGGCACTTGTCAATGAGAGGTATCTGCAATCATGAATGAATTCTGATGTGGTCGTGTTCTCTGAGCTGGATAGTTAATTTGCGAAACTTTCATTGCCCTACCAGGCAACATCTTCAGCCCATACTTCAATTTGTTGAAGTGAGCTTTTAGATTTCTCCACGAGTTGATTAGTCACCTCTCCTGGTGACCTTGAACGTGATTGGTTTTCTTCGTGTGTTTTCACACCCTCTAGGCTACTTGTATTGGAAGTGATTGTTTCCTCGACTTGAACTTTCACCCTTTGTGTGTGAGATTTTCTGCTGTCTATTGATTGACGATTCACTGGAATACCAGGTTTCTAAAAATTCTCTAGCATTCTTGTTGTTTCCTCTGTCTAATATTTGAACGTTGTCCCAGTCGAATTGATGTTCGTGGCTGTCTGTATGCAGTGAGGCGATATGAGGGAGTGGATGGAATGTCTTTTGACGGCTAGCTTATGTTCATAGATACGAAGACGAAGGGGACGTCCACTTTGGCCAATGTAGTGTTTTGCACAGTTGTTACAATTTATTTTGAATTCATGATCCTTCTGAGATTTGAACCTATGTCACCCAGTTCTGCAGTCAGAAATGCTACCACTGAGCCGTTTTTGATCTTAGCAAATAAAGATGTTCCTAATATGTACCATGTTAAGGAAAAATAACGTTCATAATGTTAAGATGTTGCACTCATATAATAAGTTATGAGTTGGAAATTCCGACTGAATATAATACAAAGATGGATAGATTGTGAGTTCTCAGTAGTACAGACATCATCAAGAAAAGCGTTGAAATACAGAAAGCCAAAGACGAACAAGTTGTACTATTGTACAACTAACTAACTAACTAACTAACTAACTAACTAACTAACTAACTAACTAACTAACTAACTAACTAACTAACTAACTAACTAACTAACTAACTAACTAACTAACTAACTAACTAACTAACTAACTAACTAACTAACTAACTAACTAACTAACTAACTAACTAACTAACTAACTAACTAACTAACTAACTAACTAACTAACTAACTAACTAACTAACTAACTAACTAACTAACTAACTAACTAACTAACTAACTAACTAACTAACTAACTAACTAACTAACTAACTAACTAACTAACTAACTAACTAACTAACTAACTAACTAACTAACTAACTAACTAACTAACTAACTAACTAACTAATTAACTAACTCATAATCCACATTCATCGTAATTTGTTAAACAGGAAACAACATAGTGTTATTATTTTGCTAACAAATTCAAACTTTCCCCTCTGCCTATCAATTCAGCATATGTCGCCATGGTTTTCATTAAAATATTGATTAAAATCCATTGTAACTCAAAATGAAGGATAACTTGGTCTCAGAATAGTGATCCAGCAAAATCCTCTACTAAGTGAACTATCTACAAGACTTTTATATTACTAATAATTCACACATTTTGAGTTCCATCTCAAACAAGAATAATGCTCAAATTTGAATACCTGTGAGGGTTTTCTTGATAGTTCACAAGTTATTGTTAGACGTGAGGGTCTAAATGAGGATTAATGAAGATGTAGCTGTATGTGAAATATTCTCATATCATCAATTAAAAATTCGGTCTGAACGATGAATATTCTTTTCAGTAAATTCCTTTCAGGTTCTTACAGTCAACAAATATAATATTTATCGTCTTAATAACAGTTTCGAACAGTGTAGGGAAGGAAAATTTACAGGTAACTTCAACGCTGTAAAACGTGTTTGGTGAGTGACTAATAGAAAACTGTGATCATCAAGGTCGAGACAATTTTAATGAGGAGAATAGTTCATCATGAAATAAGCAATATGTGAGGTGAAACAGGTGGAGTCATATATTGAGAAAAGACACAATATCACTAATAATAGATCAGAACAGTATTAATGGAAAGTTTAGTAGTGCTGAAAAAACGCCAGAATGAAGGGTATAGATTATACAACGTTGTTGCTAAAAGTGTCAGCACGAAGATAAAAGGAACCATAAAAATAATAAACGAAATTATAAAAGAGATAAAAGGGGAAGGCAGGAAGAACGCCTGGATGTGTTCTTTCTGAATACAAAGTTCTGGTTTAGTCAATCATAGTGCAGCAGCTTCAGCTACATGAAAGAGACGTAGGTGAACTGTGCATGATAATGATTTCAGAATGTAGTACAAAACCCTAAAGACTATGTTAGCGACATTAAGATGTCTCTAACACGTGTGATGTATGCATTCATTTGACTTCTTCCTTCCTGGTTAGTGTTCTCGAATCAGTAGACTAACTAGCCTATATAATTCGAACCACGGGAGTAATTAAAAGGGTATTTTCGGGTGAACACTGGATGGTTACTGAAGAACAGAAACAAACATCCAGATTTGAGAGTTTTCTTTATAGCTCTGGTTAAACGTTGAGAAAAAATCCCCGTATGCGTATATTCTTTGAATTGTAGACTCGAAAAGAATGGCTTTGTCACCACTATTCCCAGTTCATGACTGTAACTGTTACAACCTATGTTAAACTTTATCAACTTGTCCGGATATCTATTTCCGCTTAAGAGAACCTTGAATGATTGTTGGCAGTAGAAATTTTATCTACTGCTGAACATTCTCTTTAATTCAAAATTTTCTCCTAGTATTAATGCAGGAAAATATAACAGACAATTCCTTAAAACTTCATGCTGATACGGCAACTGGCCCTATTCAGTCAGTGACCTGGGGTTCTGTTGGGAAGCCGTGAGTAGTAGGGTGCAGCAGGTTGAAGATGAGGCAGTAACTCATCGAAGAAGGCATTATGAAGTGATCTCACGACGTCATGAAATGGCAGAAGTTCGAATCCATGGGCTGGCCATTGGATCGGGTCCCAGAGGCTCAATGATCTACGAGCTCGCTAGCCTTGTATCCAGAACAGCCTGTGTTCAAACCCTGTCGGCAGGCGTGTACTAATAAAGAGTCCCAAACCAGCGGGATGAAACAGCTGTCCAGTACTCCCTGGTTGGTTTTCCAATGGTTGTTTAACTGATGTCAGCTCATGATGAAATCCTCGAACCAATCAAACATAAGCCCTACAAAAGTGATACTTGAAAATTAAAGAAAGTACTCATCCATTCTTTGTTTAGCGTGATCTATCTTGTCTATATTATCTAAAGATATGTAAGGACATTATTTCCTTCTAAGATTAGAATGCGGACTCAAGGTGGAAGCAAAAATGGTTGGGTGGTAGACACTGTAGAATAGACATATTATGTGTGACTTCGAATATGTTTAATCCAACCCAAGAAGAAACGTTAATCTGAAAACAAATAGGCGAATTGTTAATGTAAAACATGATTTTTCTTTTAAAAAAACAGTCAAGCAAAATCATTTTTCTTTCCAGCGCGTCTTTTTCAAAAGCTACCGTATTTAACTGAAAAATGTTTTTCTTTTTGCTTTCATCACATCAACTGACATTACATTTTACAGATCTGTATTTAAAATATGTGTATATGAAGCATGAGCATTAAAAATTTTTCACATAATAATTAATCATTGATGTTTTGTAAGGAGGAAAAACCCTGAAAAATGGTCTGCCATCACAGTATCTGAAATAAATATGCAAATAAATGTTGGATACATACGTTGTTATGTATAGTTTACCATAGTTTAGCTAGATTTGGCAGTCAACGTCAAGACGTTGTAACCAACTTTACTCAAGTCTGTTTGATTCAAACTCGAAAA